ATATAATTACAGTGTGAAGTGTACCCAAAAAGTCTGTACAAGGAATAGAAGGGGCAGAGGGGAGGAGACAATTACTCTGGTCTGGAGATGGTCACAGAAGGCTTCAGGCGAGTGACAGTAGGTCAGAGTTCTGAAGGATGACTGAGTGAGCCGGATGCACAAGGGGGAGAGGGGGGTCTGGGAAGAAGGACAAGCCCGTGCAAAGGTCCTGAGGCATGAAGCAACGTGGCCAGTTTGGGACATGTTGGCTGTTTAGTGCTGCTGTGGTAAGGGCTGCAGGAGATGGAGAGATGGGTGGGGTCACTTCTTACAGGATCTCGGGGGGCCATGTCTTGCAACTGATAAGAATGACTGACTGCTTCCGGCAAGGGAGTGTCCTCCCAGACTCCCAGACTCCCAGACAGAAGGCTCCCTCTGGCTGCTGTGGGTGGATGGACTGGAAGGGTCAAGACTGGAGGCAGAGAGGCCACTCAGGAGACCGCTGTGATCCTCATGCAAGAGATGACAACGGTGTCGGTGCGGCAGTGTGTGTGGAGGGGAAGCAGGCTGCGGGCCTCGGAGGCACAAGCAGCGGGACCTGGAGCTCATCAGGACTAAGGGAGAAGACAGCCCCTTAGTGGGAGGTGCTCCCCTCCTCCCTGGGGATGTTGGCCAAGCCTCCTTTTTGGTGTCTGGAAGGGTGGCTGTCCCACTCACTTGTAAATGGAGGGGTTACATGGAGGAGTTCAGCTTGGAGTACACTGAGTTTGAAGTGCCTGTGGCCCACTCAGGGAAAAGCACTCGGGGCGGCTGGGTGTCCAAGAGCAGCCGGGAGTGCACCGTCCCTGCGGGAGCACAGCCCCGGCCCCAGGGAGGGGAACTGGGTGTCACCGAGGCCAGGCATATCTTACGTTCATTAACTTCTCCAAGGTGCGCTCCCTGGCCCTCACTCAGATCCACGCGCTCTTATTTTAGACATGTTTCTATCAAGCCTGCTCCCCTGACTCCCCCACCACACAGTGGATCTGCGGCTTGAAGCAGCGTGCTGCAACAGCAGCCAGCGGGGAGGCAGCAGAGCCACGTGAAGGAGGGCAGAGTGACGGGACACTCTTCCAGACACCTGGGAAGCCCCCAGGGCTGCACTGTGTTTGGGGCCCACGTTCATCTTGGTGATTTCAAGTCTTTAACGAAAGAGCCCCACCGCTGCCCAGAGCGCTGCTTCAGAAGTAGGAAAACTAGATGATAGCCTTCTGGAAATTTCCCGTCCACTTGATTAAAGGGGTAATTTAACGTGATTGGCAAGCGTTATGCTCCATTGTATGGAACGGCTCATTCCCCTAAGAGGCAAAATTTCTTAGTGCTAGGACAGTGCTGGTACTGAGTAGAAGCTACAGAAGAATTTGTAGCAGAGTGATGGGAAGAAAGCTTCTAATTTGGAGGCCAGAAATCTATATAAACAAGATTTTTAGAAATTTAGCTGCTACCCAAAGCCTTCAGTATTATGCCCAGGCTGTCTTTTTCCACTCTATTATTCACCTTTTCTTTACACGTTCCCTTCACCCTGCTTTTTTCTCACCCTGGCTGTGCTATCAGCTTTCCTGGAATAAATGCCCATCCTCCCCATCTCTGCATATCTGAATCATGGGTATCATAAAGGTCCAGGGGGGTGCCACCTCCTCCAGGCAGTCCCCCTGGCCTATCATCTGATTGCTTGATGACACTTCCTGTGAACTCACTCCCATCTCTGACTTGGCCCATGACCCTTATCACTACCTTGCATCCATATTGTCAGTGTCAGAGTCAGAGCAGAGTACCCTGTGCATTAGTCTGCAGTCTGGGCTTCCATATGCTTATCGAATGAGTGACACGTACTCATTCATTTGCTACTGTGGCTTTGTGATTACTGTGATGGGAAAACATATTAAGACTCAGTGGACCCAGCTTTCCCCTCTCCTGGCTCACAAATGAGGATTCCAGCTTTTCCAGACCGCCATCTCTCCCCTCTCTTGACCTGCATTCTAAGTCAGCCTCGCTTATGCATTTGTGAAGCAGAACCAGGAGAAGAGGGACAGGGTGAAGGTTGAGGGGTGAGCAGCGGGATGTGGGAGGTCTGGGGGAAAGATGCTGGACGAGCCGAGGGGGTTGACGGGGGTGATGAGAGCAGAGGGGGATTTCAGAAGCCTTGCTTTGACTATACGGTGATTTTATGTCAGAGAAATACAAGCAAGCACACAAGTAGTTCTGAAATTGTTGGCTGCCTGGATTCCACGTAATTCTCAGAGACATTGCTCAAGGGCTGGACCTCACACGTCATGGTCTTAAGAGCAGTGTGGTATATTTTCAAGTTGTTTCCCAAATTCCCAGGGTTTATTCTGCCTGCTCTCCTCACACAGCTCAGACAGAATGGGTGACGTTTTCTCTGGCTGGGATTTATATGGAGTTGCAGAGGCAGGGAGCATCTGAGTAGTAGACACCAGAAAATTTGGATGCCCCTGGAGTCAGTGATTAGAAGATTTGATTTGGGGGGATAGAGTGGTACAGAGACAATGATGAGGCTAAAACCACTTATTTTTGGAACACCTGGATTTGGCTGGGAGGACTGTCAATCATTCGATCATTCAAGACACACGAGTAGGCTCTAGTGGCTGAATCACTCTCTGGCCTCCAGTGCCCTGTCTGTAAAGGACGGAGGTGGGAGATCAAGAACTAAGGTCCCTTCCAGTCCTGTGATCCTCAGGACCCACTCTGTGCTCACTCTTCACTGAGGTTATGGGCAACCTTGCCCAGGAGACGACCAGGTCCTTACCCTGAAGAAACTGTTCTGCGTGGGTCCCCAGGGAGGAGGGGAGGAGCCCGCCGGGGCTGCAGGGCAGGAGGTAGGAGGGTGTCGCAGAGGAAGAACTCCTCTGTGCCTGGTACACTCTGGCCTGGGCTTCCGGCTGGAGGTGAGGGGTAGGGGTAGGGGTAGGGTACATGCCGCCCCGTGTGCCAGGACGTACCGAGACTCTGAGGGTAGTGGGCCAGCCGTCGTCCAGCATGGGGCCGTAGTCAGGGTCCTCCAGGGAATACTCAACCGAGAAGGTCACTGGCTTTATGTAGTCAGCAGTGTCCTGTGTGGGAGGAGGTGAGGACGTGTGAGGGCAGAGGGGACATCTGCGTCTGGGCCAGGAGACTGAGCAAGAACATCCACCTCCCTAAGCCGGAGGGCAGCTGTTCCGCCAGCCCTTCACATGAATCTGTGGAGCTTGTAGCATCTGCAGGTGAGTGGAGGTTCCCCGACGTGTGCCAGCTGGAGAGCGCACCTCCTGGAAAGCACCCCTGGCTCAGCGCACGCCAACCCACTGCCTGGATGCTTCACCAGCTCCTGCTCGCCCTTCAGGGTGGGGAGCCCATCCCCTCAGCACCCCAGCCTCCAGGAAGCCAGGCAGCTCCCCATCCCCACCCTCTGTTCAGACCTGTCTGGCCACTTCTCACGTGGCATCCAAATTATGTGTCAGCCTTCCTCCCTCAGGAGCCCAGGCGCTGTGATGAGGCTTGAGAAATGTGGTAAGTCAATGAATGAACAAATGTGAACAAAATAGGGGTGATTCAGGTTGGTCCTATGTGTAGAGCTGCCTAAAAAATCCCCCCCAAGGTACCGAATCTCAGCGGCTTCTTTGTGTGAAGGCAGTGGCTCTGGAACTTGAGCTTGTATCAGAACCCGGGGGGAGCCTGTTAGAGCACTGAGCCCCACGCCCAGAGCTTCTGACTCAGTAGGTCTGGGATGGAGCTTGACAATGTGCATTTCTAACACGTTCCCGGGCAATGAGGATGCTGTTGGTCCCAGGACCACAGTTTGAGAACCAGCACATAAACACATCAGAGGGCAACATATTAACAGACACCATGACTTCTTGCTTTTCTGACCTTGGCTCATTGAATACCGGGGTCCGGTGGGCTCTGAGTGTCCCCCTGCCTGTGTCTCCTGGAGGCTGGAGCTGTGGTCAGTGTGTCTGGAGTCTCCAGACGAAGCCTCCAGGCCGCCACTGGTCTCCCTCTCCACCAGGCTGGCCTCTCTGTTTCTCCCTCGAGCTTGGCCATGCCCTGCTCTGCTTTACCTGGTCTTCATTTTCAGCCGATGCCAGCTTATCCCTTTCTTCCGAGCCATGGCCCCTGCTGGCTGACTGACACCTGCCTCTCTGCCAGACGTCACTGAACCCATGCCCTCCTTGGCCTTCACCCTCTGCTAAAGGAACAGTGGGTTTCTGAGAGCTGGCAAAGAGGGGATTTCGGAGGAGGGGACAGTGACATGGTAAGTAGCCTGTCCCAGAGGCCTTTGCCCTGGGGCATGAATGTGGGGTGGCCAAAGTCCAGGACACTGAGGTCTGCTGGGGGCTCAGAACCAGCCCGGCACTGCTAAGCTCTCTGCCTCTCCTGGGGAGGAACCTCTTCCACCTCTGTATCTCCTTCCTGGAGGGGCCTGGGCTCTGCTGGTGGGGCTGCTGGACACCAGGCTCACCAGGACATGGAAGGTGATCCGCTCACAGTGTTCATGGCCAGAGAAGAGCAGGGCAGCCCTGTTGGTATATCGGTCCCCGCCCTCATCCAGGTGGGCCCGCGGCGTGTACCGCCTCTCATCCATGGTGGCGTTATACCTGATGCCTGGAGGAAGGAGAGGGCAAGACTATAAAGGTGGAGTCATGTTTCCATTGAAAGACTTTTTCGCCACTCTTTAAAGATAGCCTCTGGAAAGTCAGCCTCCTCCAGGGAGCCCTCCAGGCTGGCCAGGGAAGAGTTACTCCTTTCCTCTCATAAGGCTCAGTGTCGGCACAAAACTCTCACACAGAGAGTGAGTGATGCAGTGAAAAAGGGTAAAGGAAGGACCTCAAGAGAAGAGGGAGGCAGAAGAAGGAGAAAGAAAGATGGAGCTGATAGCAAACAGAGAAGAAGAAGAAGAAATGGAGGGGAAAGTGAACAGAGTGGAAGAGGAGAGGAGACAGGATGAGGGGTCAGGGTGATGCCCTGTTTGAGCCCCTCGTGGAGCACCACACAGCTCTCTACCTCTCCCGACACCTCCCCAGGTCTCGCCCTCGGCTCTGGGACCCCGTCAGGTCTGGGTCAGATCCTCCGGGAGGGCTGGCCAGGCCCTGCCCACCAGCTCCTTAAACCTCAGACTGCCCTGGGGTTTAAGGCCCGCAGTCTCCTCCCCTTCAAATACCACCGATCCCCTGGCTCCCAGCTCCTCTCCAGGGCCTGACTCTTCCTCTACATCTGACTTCATGGCTTCCACATCCCGGTTTGCTCCACTGCTTCTCAGTCCCTGTTCTGATCCAAACTTTGTCTCTGTCTCCTTCTTCCCCAGCCTCTCCTGTGTTGGTCACCGCAGCACACTGCCTGGAGTCAGAGCCCCTCTCTGCCCCTTGGAGGTAGAGCACTGAATGGCTATCCAGGAGTCATCAAAGCAGCTCCAGGTGCGACCTGGCTCTTAAACCCATTTCAGCAAAAGCCTAGATTTAGAAACAGAGCGACTGCAAAGTCCCCGGGGCAGACTGAGTCAGGGAAGTGGGGAGGGGTCTGATTTACCCACTGTTGCCGTTCGGAAGTGGGGCGCCAGGAAGACGGGCGTGAAGCAGAGGAAGGCGGCCAGGCAGGTGGCGTCTCTGCCGTTGCGTTTGCAATCCCTGTGAAAGATGTTGATCTTGGAAGGCTCAAAGCGGAGGCTGGCGTTGATCTGAACCACAGGGCGGGACCTGGGGAAGAAGGGAGAGACGCTAGGGTGGGCGGGATGCAAGGTGGAGTGACAGATGCACTGTGACCTGCAAAACCAGCACTGGAGGGTGAGATGGGGCAGGGCAGGAGGCTGGGCAAAAACGTGCGCAGGTGGGTGAAGAGCCTGCTCGGCTCGGCAACCTACAGCCCCTGCAGGCAGCCCTTCTTGGTTCCCTCGGGGCTGCGCTTGCTGCAGACCACCTGACGTCCTTCTGCCTTCTCATCACAGCAACCCCGCGTGTGCATTAGAGCAATCCGGAGAGCTTCAGAAAACTCCGATGCCCAAACTGCTCTCCAGCTCCAATCAAATCAGAGTGGGCATCAACATATCTGAAAGCAGTGCTTCTCAGATTTTAATACATTTGCACGTCTCTTGGAGACCTGGTTAAATTACAGATCCTGAACTCCTATCGAGTTCTCGGTGTGGCTGGTGCTGCCGGTCCCTGGACCACACTTGGGAGAGCACGGGCACTAAAATTCCCCAGGTGATTCCGGAGATCTCCCACCCACACTCCTGCCCCACTCAGGCTGCCAAGGAAATGCAGCTTTTCCGTTCTCCTGTCTAAGTCAGACAGAGTTAGGGAAGGAAACTCCTCCTCTCCAAACCACGCATTTACATAAAAAGAAGTGCAGTGTGATTTTAGATGCTTCAGTTTTTCGTGTGATTCTCTGCGCTAATAATACGCTGCTCTTCTTGGCATAAGGGGGATGGCGCCTCCTCTGTGCTGAGGAGCAGGAAGGGTGGACTTGAGTCTTGGCTCCACTGGTTTCTCACGGGACCTTGGGCAGGTCTCAGGGCCTCTCTGATGGGGAACTGTGAGAATCAAAGCAAGTAAGTGAGAACACCCTCTGACAGTGTAGGTTGCTGTGTGAACATAATAGCTTATGTCAGTGGTTCTCAAACTTAACCGCCCTTTGGAAACAAACACCTGGGGAGTCTTTAAAAATTACCGCTGCCTGGGCCGCTCCCCTTGAAATTCTGCTTTACATGGTCTGGGTGAAGCCTGGACAACGTGCGTTTTAACAGCTCCCTGGTGACCCCAGTGGCAGCCGTGTTTGGGAGCGAGTCTGGCGGTAAAGCCCTCCCAGAGGGCTGCAGCCCCAGTGTGAGCACTGCTCACTCGCGCAGCGTTCAGGTTAGACCTCACCAGCTAGGGCTTGGCCGAATCCTTCCAGGAGACTGACTCTTCCGACACGTGTGCGAAGGACTCAGGTTACGTGTCGCCCTGCAGACCCGAGAGGCCGCGTCTACCCGACCCTGCGTCTTGTTCACCTGTCCCGCTTCCGCATACAGATCTGACGCCCCTCATCTATACCCTTAGCCTGCAGACTTCACATTCCCTTCAAGTTCTAGTCATTTCTTTCAGCCTGTGCCACCATGCGATGCTGCCGGAATTCACCCAGCTTGGCTTAAGACGAATAGTGCTTGTCTCGCTTGCTCCCATGGGTGTATGTATCAGTACCGAGCATCGTCGCTTCAACACAGAACTGCTTATTTCTGCAGCCTGCTAGTTGTACGGTGTCGTGGGTCTTATTTTCATTGGCTTGCTTGAAACCAAAAGCACAGAGGCTGAACGTCTACTAAAATAGGTAAGAATACGTAAAGCACATGCATTAATGCAGTCATCCCCTTTCAGGTGGGAAGAGAGTAAACCAATGGCTTTATTTTTTATTCACCCTTCGGGCAGAAAATAGACTTTTTCGCCCAGGTTGCTGCCCCTACCAAAGACCCAAGAGCCCCTACAAGTGGAGCAGAGCGTCAAAGAGCAGACAGGTCGTGGTGCCACTGCAACAGTGGGGCTGGACCCGCAAGGCCCTGCTTCCCGGCGCTGCGCGGAGGGCCAGGAGGCCCCGCTTGGAGGCGTGCGGTGGCCGTGGTGAGTAGAAAGCTACGGAGACGGCTGCTGAGCTGCTCAGGCCAGCACCTCCAGCCAAACTGACCTTGTGACGGACACGCCCCTTCCTGGGCACTCTTTTCTTAGGAACAACTTCATCCTTTTTCACCCTAGAGGTCTTGAAAGAAGGTCATGGACTGAACTCAAGAAAACGGGCAGACCTTCCTCAGTTCCTCCACAACAGGAAGTTCCCATCAAGATGGAAGGAGTGTCGCCCCTGCTCACACCTGACTGTCATCCTCCTATTCCCACTCTTCTGTGAAACCCCAGGCCACTTCCCCAAGGTGGGCTCGCAGTCTTTAAGACATGAGCCTGTGGTGACTCCCTTTGCCTGCAAAGCAATGATGCCGCTCTTTTCCATCCTCCCAGGACTCTGCCCCCGACTCTCAATTCAGTTATCGGAGCCCAGAGGTCAGTTTTTTGGCAACAGTAGCACGTGGGGCTTTTAAGGAGCCGGAAGACACACTGCTCCCTGTCCCTCCCCCGAGGGGCCGCTGCTCCCTGACCCCCCGGAGGGGCCACTGCAGGAAGCAGAGGAGTATTCTGCCTCTCTGGAGAGGCTGGAGCAAGGAGCTGCTCAGATGGAGAGGCCGCAGCATGTCCAGTAACAGCCCCTCCTCCCGCTCTCCTCCTCCCCCGCTTTCCCGGGACCCTTGCCTCCCTGCGCTGGCACTGAAGCTGTAGCCTCAGGCTCTGTTTTGTAGGGAACCTGGGCTAAGACACTTTCCCACTGGACTGTGATGGTCTTGTGGACCAAGAACATAAAGACTCCCCCTGGGGAAGTCATAGGCTATCTCTGTTTCATGCCTTTTTAAAGTTGTATGAAAAATGTGATCGTGTTTATATAAAATGACATGCAGGTGGGAAAAGGTTTGTAGGAAATATGCCAGAATGTTAATAGTGGTAATGTTAAGGTGATTAAACCCTGAGTAATTTTTTCTTTGCAATAACTTAAAGAAAGTTCTATAAGTTTTCTTCTAATTACTGTATTTATAAGGAAAAACATCTCATCAGCATGTATAAAATTATCTGAAATTAAAAAAATTTTTGGCTCAAAAAGTAGCCGACACATCACATGGTAAAATAGACAGACTTTTTTTTTTAAAGCTGGAAACTGTTGCTAAACAGAGACCCCCCAGGTGCAAATGTATGACAAATACCTGGTGGGTGGTGCAGAAACGAGGCCCTGAAAAGGGAAGCCAGGACTGAGAAGGGGTTTGGAGGGAAGCAGTCTTCTCTCACACTAGGGAGAAGGCGGTGCTCCCACTGATACGAACGCCCTTAGCCTGCCCCTCACTGATGCAGCCTGAAAAGCTAAGACGTGCCCAAGTAGCCAGAACTCAGAGGAGAGCGTCTCAGAGTCCCCTGAGGAGAAGGGTCCTCGAAATAACTCACACTGATTCTGCCAAAAGGAAATCTGTACTCGTGGCGGGAGGAGAGTGGGGTGAGTTGGGCCAGCAGTGATGGAAGACAAGAGACAAAGACTGCAAAGCGTGTCTTTGAAACCTTGCATCCGGCACGACCCTCAGGAGAGCCCAGGAGGCTAAGAAAAGTGGGGCACTAACCACAAAATCACAGCGTTGCCGAGGGCGCCCACCGCCAGGTCCACCAGCCCGTCCTCGTCGAGGTCCAGCTGCCCGTGGAGGCTGCAGCCGAAGTACTGGAGGCCTGGAGCCAGCTTGGAGGCGGCGATTCTCTGCAGGGAGTGGAAGGAAAGAGATGAGCATGGGCCCCGTTAGTACAGGATGGGGCAGGGCCACCCTGAGGGGTGAGCACTACTGGGAGCCCTGGAGAAAGCCTGTCTGAAACCATCAGGAAGCGTCCCCAGCCCAAAGCGCTCTCTCCTCTCCTGGTCTATTATGGTGCCTGAGATTCCTACCGTCACGTCATTCTCTGGACTGAACAGTGTGCCATCAGAGTTCCCCACTGAAGAGGGAAGGGAGAAGGGGCAAGACGGGGCCAGGCGATTGAGAGGACAAACTACGATGCATAAGATAAATAAGCTTTGAGGATACATTGTACAATACAGGGAAGACAGCCAATATTTTATAGAAACTAAATGGAGTACAGCCTTTAAAACTGTGAATCACTGTGTTGCAAACCTGTAACTTATATAATGTTGTACATCAACTATGCTTCAATTAAACAAACAGCTGCCCACTGAGTGTAAATACACATCACCTGGCAGGTAACCCATCAGTACCTTGGACTGTGGGATATTAGACCACCTTACTGACAAAAGAGAGAGGGGAAAACGATGACCATGAGGGGATGGGACTGGGGGCGGGTCACTTCTGGGGAGAGCAAGGTCTCCAGCCAGGGACGAGGAAGCTCAACTAGGCGCTCTCTGCGGGGCGCCAGTTCAGGCTCGGGTCCTCGGATTTCGTTGCTACTGTTGTGGAGATAGAGCCAGTCGGGGAGAGGGTATCCAAAGGAGTGATGGGAAGGTGTTCCTTTTTAATTCAATACAGTTGATTTACAATGTTGTGTTAGTCTGGTATACAGTATGGTGATACAGTTATACACACAAATATATATATGTATTCTTTTTCATATTTACTTTTATTATAGGTTACTACAAGATGTTGAATATGGTTCCCTGTGCTGTACAGTAGGACCCTGCTTATCTGTTTTATATATAGTAGTTTTTATCTGCAGATCCCAAACTCCCAATTTATTCCTCCCTGCCTTTCTTCCTGGTAACCGTAAGTTGCTTTTTATGTCTGTAAGTCTGTTTCTGTTTTGTAATTTCATTTGTGTCATTTTTGTCTGATTTCACATATAAGTGATATCATATGGTATTTTTTTTCTCTTTCTGGCTTACTTTACTCAGTATGATAATCTCGAAGTCCAACCATGTTGCTGCAAATGGCATTATCTCATTCCTTTTTATGGCTGAGTAGTATTTCATTATATGTATACCACAAATTCTTTATCCAGTCATCACATGATGGGCATTTAGGTTGCTTCCATGTCTTGGCTCTTGTAAATAGTGCTGTTGTGAACATTGGGGTGCATGTACTTGTCAAATTAGAGTTCCCTCCGGATATATGCCCAGGAGTGGGACTGCTGGATCATAGAGGGTAAGTCTGTTTTCAGTTTAAAGGAATCTCCATATTGTTTTCCATAGTGGCTGCACCAAACTACAGTCCCACCAGCAGTGTCAGAGGGTTCCCTCTTCTCAGGAAGGTCCTGAAGACAAAGGCACCTATTTCAAAATTTCAACTTGAGGCAAGCAGAGCCAGGGTAGACGGGAACCCTTTCCTGTGCGTGGACACAGCTGAGTTACTGGGGCTCCCAGTCCCAGCCCCACCCGTCTACCAGGGTGAGTGTTACCTGCTTTGGCGTCTTAAGGATGCTGCCTTGGAAGCCATGGAAGATGTAGATGACTCCTCTGTGGTGGTCCTCCAGGGGGGCTCCCACCACCACGTCGTTGTAGGAGTCCTGGTTGAGGTCCCGGACCGAGGCGACAGAGGAGCCGAATCGGGCGTTCTGGTAACTGTGGGAATCCTTCAGCGTTCCATTGTAAACAAACCAGTTCTGCAAAACCGGGGCAGGACAAGGTGGGGGGACCTGCTCTCTCGGGGTTGTGACCCCTCTGGCCTGCAGCACCCCCTCCCTGTTCCTCTCCTGCTACAGAAGCCCAGCCACAGAGGAGGTTCCTATTCTCCCTTGCCCCTCAGCTTCCCCCGCGGACGCCTGGTCAAGGCCGGGGCGGCGGGTGCCCCGCGGAGGCTGCCCGCCCGCCCGGCACTCGGTACCTGTCTCAGGTTGTAGACGTACACCCTGCCGCGCTCCACGCCC